TCACTAAGCCCTTGGATGAGAAAATGTTTTGCAAGTTGCGGTGTGAGCTAAATATCTTAGAATCCAAGTGTCCTGTAATTGGACACACATCCAAACGCTTATGCATCGTGACAACTTAGATGTGCAACCCACGAAGTAACGTATATCTTCAATCAATGAAGACTTACCCTCTGAGTGTGAATACATTAATGCGGAATCTGACTTCGGAGCGCCACGATAATTGTGCGCCGTGTCTGGGTCTAATACTTCCTATACGGTGGGTAACGCCACCACCAAATTCTTATTGAAGCATTTCTCTTGGCGTTATGTTTGCATAGTCTTCACATTTGGTTTGTTTTCAACATTGATTTGTCTTCATGATTTATCTTCACAATGTTTAGTTGATCTCTCTCTCTCTCTCTCTCCATATATATGGAGAGAGAGAGAAAGAGAGAGAGATAGAAAAGTCTATGTATTGTGTAAGTCCATGCTCTCTACAATCAAAGCCGTCCATCCAGCATCTGGACATGTTCCAGGCAAGCTTTATCTCTTTCCATCTTTGAATTAAACGATTTTCCGCAGCTCTCTCATATTTCCTCTTTTAGCTTGGTGGTCCATAGCCTAGCTGCAGTCTAGACCACATGCCTATGTGTTTGTCTGGCCGGACGGCACCGTTTGACACAAAGAGTTCCGGACTATGCAGGACCTTTTTTCGATGTTGCGAGAACAACAAACACTCATTTTAGGCAAAGTGCAATACTATTTGTTAGTGCTTTGTTTTGTTTCTCTGACCAGCACTAATACCATGTCACGGATATCATATTCATCGCGTTTGCAACGAGCAACGCCCTACAGCCAGCATGGATTATTTTACAGTTAAGGAAATTTGGGTTATCAAATTAGCTGCCGGGGAGCATCCATGGACGGTGACAGCCCCTTTTTTCTTTGCGACTGCAGCGAGCCGGATGTTAGGCGTCGGTCTTCAAATTCTAGAGACCATGAACGGCCTTTCCTTCGCTGTGTTGGTTATGTGGGAGGCAGCGAGGAGGACCTGCGTTGGTTATGTGCATCAAGTTTAGTAGTGTGTAGTCCTATTTTTTGTTATGTCAGTATCTTCAGTTATGGTACCATTTGTATCATGTTGTAACCAACATATTCATTGCCATGTACTGCATTAGACGCATTGTTATCAAATGGATTTATCAGATTTCTTTCACCTGATCTCAATTATCTCAATTGTACATGCACCATTGTGTCGAATGATTTCTGTCCTATTATTTCTCTGAAAATCCAGCTTCAATTTTGCACTCTATTTTCGACAGTTGACACATCAATCTTCAGACATGACCAGTGGTTTTGTTACCTTTCCTTCAGTTCACCCAAAAGCACAACTAGAAAAGTTGAATCTTTTCGTTTCAGAAGGCAGTCTTGGCTGCACCCTAGTTTGCTATACACACAAATATAGCAATGTGCATCCATACTTTCCATCTTAACACTGTCCCAGAATAGCAGTTCATGTGTCTGTTTGTTCGGTCAAACGTGCAGCAATTGTGTGTGTAACACGCCTAGTGTATGTCCTCTAGTTAACACAACTTTCTTCAAATTGGCCTAGCGCCAGTCTTGCACAAGTCTGAACCAAAACAGTATGCTCAAAACCAGGATAAAAGCTTGAGCCGTAGCTGTCGCCTGTCAGGATTCCTGAGGCGCATAGTATCCCTACATCACACAAATCTCCAGAGGCTTCAGTCATTCACGGGTCCATCATTGCAGCCTGTTGCAATTTTTTTCTTGCCCCCTCCACTTACCTCTAACCCAACTAGTGATCCGCTTATTACCCCTTACAAAACTTCATAAACACGCTTCATTACCCCCTACAAAATTGCATAAATTGACGAATTGTTTGTCGCACTTGACCCAATATACTAGCAATAAAATTAATAGATATACTCCGATGAGGCCACGCCACCACGGTGCCACCTTCTGCTGATCTTTTCCTAATCCTTAGTTTAGTTTGGAGGGATTCAACGAGGTGACGACGGCATTACCTTCTTCGACGAGGCCGCCCATCACCTCACTCCTGCTGTCTGTGGGGATGAATGATAGCTTCATGCGGCAGCGCCGACTATCAAACCACGACAAGGACTGGTTTAGTCTTGTGCTTGTGGAATAAACCGTGGCGGGTGTGCCATGTGCGTGTGTGCGTTTGTGTCGCGGTGCCGGCGCGTGTGTGTCACATTAGAGTCCGAGGCCGTTGGTGTTTTTTTTTGAACATCAATACAGACACAAACGCTCATATACACGCGCATACACTCACCCCTATGAACGCATACACGCACACCCTACCCCTATGAGCACCTCCGAAAGACTGAGTCGGCATATCATCTTGAGATTTACGAAGTCATCATAAGTGCCTCGTCGTCGACGGGAACGTCTCCTCCCACTGAATGTGCATCACCGGAAATCCTGAAATAAATCCAGGAATAAATGCGAGCACCAGAATTTGAACCCTGATGGGCTGGGAATACCGCAGTTTCTCTAACCATCCAACCACAGGTTGGTTCGCAAGCCGTTGGTGTTTTGGGCAGTAGCCGCTGGTGTTCTGTTGAGCAAGCCCGAGTCGTCCGGGCGTTGCGTCGTGCATGTGTGTGCCCATGTATACACGAGACCACAAATTTCTTTGCTTAGTGTCAGAGTTCCAGACTGGAAGAACAGACGCGTCGGCACTAGTCCAGTGTAATGGTAGTCAGGTCAAAGGCTACTTTAGCTTGCTAGTACTCCGATTTCACGAGTACGTACTGGTTTTCCTGACCTCCAAGTGGTCAGTCTAGGACTGTTAAAGCAGGTACGATGGCCATGCTATTGTAACGTAATTCTCTCTGTGTGCTTTAACACAACATTTGACTTTTGAACTGCTTAATACTCCATCTATTTTTTTAGTTTGCATATAAGATCTTGTCAAAGTCAAACTTTGTAAAGTTTGACCAACTTTATAGGGAAAAGAAATGAACGTCTACAATACTAAAATTATATGGTATGAAAATAAAATTCATGATGCTTCTAACAATATTGATTTCATATTGTGAATCTTGATATTTTTTCTATAAACTCAGTTAAAGTTAACAAAGTTTGACTCTGATCAAATCTTATATGCAAAGTAAAAAGAAACAGAGGAAGTACATATTAGGGCATAATGACAAAACAGATGTAGGGATAACTTTTATCTTCCTTCTACTCCCTCCGTTCCTAAATATTTGTCTTTCTAGAGATTTCAACAACTGACTACATACAAAGCAAAATAAGTGAATCTACACTCTAAAATATGTCTATATACATCCGTATGTGTAGCCCATTTAAAATCTCTAAAAAGACAAATATTTAGGAACGGAGGGAGTAGTTTATATGTAATTAATAGGACAATAACAAATCTGTTGCCAACGTTTAGTGCACATAAAGTGGGCAGGGCAAATAGTTAATCCCTTATATTGCTGGCACAGGCAGCAAAACAACTCAGTGGAGGTGGCAAATTATTTTACAGAAAGTATCCAAAAGTAAGAGTTTGTCTTGTTGATGGATGTGGCTTAGCAACTGCAGTGCTGCTCAAGACCATCCCTTTAGATACATAGTAGTTTTTGTTTGTGGAAGCTGTTTTAAGAGTATCTTTAGCAAACCCCTTAAAACGTACGAAACTGTAAAATAACCACCGTGTACAGTTTTAGGCGGGAAAAACGACCCGAATAGAACTCGTAAACGACTCCGACCTGTAAAATTCTTTAAGGGGCGCGGAAAATATCCCCACCGAACATGTGAAAATAAGGATTTCGGAGTCAACCCGAGGGTGTCCTGTATATGCGAAAGACCGTTGGCGGGAGTCCAACTGCCATCAAAACCTTCATGGCTCGCTCCCGGCTGCCGCTCCGTCCGCCCCCGGGCGCTGCCCTGCTCATCCGGGAAGCCATCCTACCCGTTCGGGCCGCCGCCGCCACGAATACAAATTTAGTCTTATTCTATATATGGTGGGGAATAGTTATTCTTCACCCCTCTCTATTTTGACATCAATGCACCATATTTTTAGGTTTCATAAAATTTATCTTATTTCAAACGTCAAAAGAGAACGTAAGAAAATATATACTTGCCTAAAAAATATTTTATGTTATGTAAAGTTACAAACGTAAAAACATACATAAAAAGTGATATTTCTAGTTTTATAACCTATTTTATTTGTTTTCTTATACCAAATTTTACGTAGTGAATCAATATGAATGTAACTATTTGTATTCCAAACGTAATATATTTATGAAGCGATCGTAAGATTATCTCGGGTGAAGAATAACTTAAACTGCAACCTGGGTGATGAGTAATATTTCTATATATATATATATATATATATATATATATATATATATATATATGTATGTAAAGATAGATAAATAGATAGTTTTTTTAGGCAAAGATAGATTTTTTTTTAGGAATTTCTAGAATTTTTTTTTAGAAGATTTAAGAAATTCTAGATAGCACCGTAAACAAATCAGCCAAGTCGGCCTCACGCTGCAAGCGTACATCGCGGCCTAGCCCATCATTCCTGCATCGCGGCCTAGCCCATCATTCCTCCATCGCAGGCAGGCCGCGTATATAAAATGGTGAACCCCCCTCCTAGGGTTCCACTAAGAGAGGAAAAGGAGATCGGAGGTCAGTTATGCGCCGCCGCCTGCCGTTTTCCGATCTGCCTCATCTCGCCGTCGCCGTCGAAGGCCTCGTATGAAGATCGAGTGGTGCTTGCGAAGAGGCGACCAAATAAGCAGACCCCCCTTTGGGAGCCGCAGTCCCCAATCGAAGCAGCAGCAGCAGCTCCTTTCCGAGCCGCAACCGGCAATCGAAGCAATCAAGCGGCTCCTCCCCGAGCCGCAGTCCGCAATCGAAGCCTTCCCCTTTTTCTGTCGCAAATCCGCAATCAAACCAGTCCTTTTTTAGATACATCCAGAAACCGGTCTTTGGAATTGATCTCCGAGTTGCACACCACATCGATGACCAAATCATCCGTGCAGGGCCTCAGCAAATCCTCCCTCAACATTGTGGTGAGTTCGTCCTCCTGTTCCTTTTTAACTTTAGGTAGATCCTCTTACAAATTCGCCGCGAACAAAATCAAGGATCAATAAAAGGTAGGAATCATAATCTGAATCCATGCTCTTTTAGGTGTGTTTGGTTGCAAAGTATTTTAAAAGTATTTCAAGGACACTACAGTTTCTTTAAACTATGGTTTTAAATACTTTTGTTTGGCTCTAGTTAAAATTGTAGTATTATAACTGTAGTATTTTTGCAGTATTTTAGATTAGAAAAAGAGGCTGGGACCTCTTTTTAGAAACTAAAGAAACTAAAACAGAAGCCCTGTCTAGTGGTGGCTTGTTATGATGTTATACGTTGTTTGCCAAACATGCCAATACTTAAAAAAAACTGATGCTTCCATAAACTACAGTTCATTTATAAAAAAACCATGAGTTAATTACACCCACAATACATGAACTTTCTGGGAGATAATAAAATCAAACACAATCTTGAAAACCCCACAAAAGTGATACACTAACTCTGGTTCAGATAACGAATCCATACAAAACAGTCTGAATCTACACACTAGCTGGTACGTGTCGTTGTTACTTAACAAAAAATACCCTGAAGCTAATCAAATTTGTCACATGAGGTCCTATCCTAAAATCCCCATATCTACTGTTGTGTTGACCGCAAAAGAGGGCGGCTGCACAGCTGGAGCGCGGCCAAGCGCACCCGCCAGCAGCAGCGTACCGCCATGTGATTCAGCCTCCACTGACCAACAGCCTGGACGTGCAGCAGCAGCCCCTCGACCCAGAGGTTCATGTTGCAAGGCCTGCCCACCATGGAGGAGCCCTCCAATGAAACCGCGACGGCGGAGGTGGGAGGGGGTTGAGCCACCTAATCGGCAACGGAAAGAGCATCGTAGTGGGCACATTGTTGTGGCATTGTGATTGTTCTCGTTCAGGTTGCGGAGGCTGTTCGAGTACTACAAGACATGGTTGTGTCTCCTGCAGGTGGCGGCAAGCGCGCTGCCATCTTCCCTTACCCTAGTTGTGCCGACGCCTCTCGTGGCTTTTGTGTGCGCCGTGGAATCCAACCCGTTGGCCGGCATTGTTGCCGTCGTCGCCAAGGAATCCCGCTCGGCTACCTTGTGAGCATGGCAAACATGCCGACCATGGCAGTCGCGTTGTACGTGCATGCCTTTGTCTACTGCGTAAGACGTAGTCCCTGGCATGCGTGAACACCTAACTGGTGTTGGTCGATGCCTCACCGCCCGTGCATGACATGTTGTCTGACGTCCCACCCTTGCCGACATCCTTGAGGTAGTCAAAGGAGCCCCACGCATGGAGGGCGCAGCAGCAGATGTAGAGGAGATTGACGACGGCTGTGGTGTCCTAGCCGACCCATTACTTGCACCACTCCACCATGTCGCCCATGTAACGGCGGCAATACATGCGCCCATACAGTGCAGCGGCCGGAAGACTAATTAATCTCTAGTGTGGTGTTGTGATCGTTCGTTCATAGTAGCCCAGCCAAATTGAGGAGCTAGCTTCTCATTTGGCTCTTTGCTGTTGTTTGTTTAATCTCTTGTCTCTCTCACTTTAACCTCCACTCACACTTCCGCGTGTCACATGGAAAGCGGCCTTCTTAAGCGTTATTGTTTATCTAAACATCTTGCCGTACACCTCACCGGCGAGGCAGTACCTCCTGGTCTGCCCAAACCCACTTCTCATTGTACCCATTGGTCACCACCTCCCTGAACTGCAGCGGCCAGGGCGGCGCCTGGCTCGTGTTGCATGACCTAAAGTGCCTTGACGACGCGCCCACTGCCTCAGTCTCCTGTTGCTGCTACCGGAGGGACTTCTTCACACCCTGCTCGCTCCCATTGCTGCTCACCGACGCCCTAGCGTGGCTCGCCTGCCCCCACCGTCGATAGGCTCTTCCGCGGCGGGCAGTCCGTGCAACATGACCCTCTCGGGCTGCCTCCTTCTTTCTGCTGCATTTGGTGGGTGTGCTTGACTGACTGTTGCTGTGCTCAAGCCGCAGCTGCTGCCGCCCTCTGCTGCGACCAACACAGCGGCAGATTTAGGGATTATAAGGCTAGGACCTTTGTTGTGCAGATTCAATTAGCTTCAGGGTTCTTTTATAAAGAAACAATGACACTTGTCGGCCTGTGGGTTGATTCAGACAGTTTTGTGTGGTTTGGTTATCTGAACCAGAGTTAGTGTACCACTTTTCACTAGTTTCCAAGATTATGTATGATGGGTGTAATTAACTCAAAAGCCATAGTATCGGAATACTGAGCTTTCAAAAAACAAAACATTGCTTCCAAACAGGGCACCTTTTTTGTGGGAAGTATCAAAATTGCGCCAGTATCTTCGAAAGTACTCCCTCTGTAACTTGATGTAAGACGTTTTTGGTACATAAGTTACAGAGGTTGTATAAAATTTGTATAATCAAATTTGTGTTCATTATTTCTGTGGAAAGTATAAAAACTGTATAATCAAAATTGCATTGTTTTGTGGGTAAGTATAATAGTTATAATCAAAATTGCGTCTTTCTGTGAGAAAGTTTGAAAATTGTATCTTTGTTTGTGGAAAATACTAATAAGAAATCAACTCTGATTTGTTTCCATATCAAATGTAGTAGGATAATGAAGTTGATATGCTCAGCAAGTTGCCTGATGACATTTTGCTCAACATTGTGGAGCGACTTGATATTGCTGATGCCACACGAACCACCATCCTATCCAGACGTTGGAAGCAGATCCCTGCGATACTCTCAAAGGTTGTTATAATGGTTGGTTCTTTTCAGCCCAAGCACGAAGGGAGGAAGTTAACCTCAGATGATATACTTCAGGCCAATACTGCCATGCTGGAAGCAACCAGGGGCATACTTGAAAGGAGGGCGGGAAATCCATACAGTATTCACCTGTTGCGCATGGAATTCTACTTGGGAGATGAGTCCATTTTCATTGGCCAGACTGTTGCCAACACCATAGCAACACAAAAGGTTGCTTCAGTTGAGTTTATAATCTTAACGAAGTTGCGCAATGTTTTTACCAATAATGAGCTGCTCACTTATGGGAGTCAGTTCATGTCATTCTTTGATTCTTGTCCAGTCACATTTGGTGGTCTTGCACGCCTCACACTAGAGAATTTGAGGTTAGGCGAATCAGGCTTTCCGAAAATTTTCAGTATATGCAAGCAATTGGAGTTCCTCCGCCTCTACCACTGTGATATGGGCATTGAGTCTTTGCTGGAAGTGGAGCACCCACAGCTCAGTGAACTAGTGATTGCCTGCAGTAGGATTATTAAGAGGATTGATCTAAAGTGGGTACCAAAACTCATAGTACTGAAAGTTAATGTATTTAGATCTCAAGATGACCCCTTCTGTCTTGGCTATGCCCCTCTGCTCCAGACTGTCAGCATCATTAATACTGGTTTTTCTTGGCACAAGATGCTCAAGTTAAGTGAGTTGCTTGGTAAAACAGCAATAAGCAATCTGCATTTGAACTTCAAAAGCGAGAAGGTTAGTGAAGGTCCTCAATTTTGTCAGTGATGTGCACAAGTTTTGCTGTCCATGTGGGGTGGAACTTGTAATCATTATATTTGGTTAACATAATTCTGCATTATTCCCCTCTTTTGCAGATTTGGGTCAAACCGGAAGGTCGAAGACAATTGTTACCGGTGTTCCACAAACTAAGGCGTGTGAATTTGTATAACATTTTTGAAGGATGCGATCTGACTTGGATAATGTTCATACTCCAAGGGGCACCCAGCCTTAAGGAACTATGCATCGTGGTGAACTCTTGTACCGATTATCCAATTCTCATTTTTATTGTCTCAGTTTGAAGTTCAAACTTGGTGTGGCCAGTTAATTTTGTTTTGATCTGACAAAACAAAATACAGGTGCGGGATCATTTATGTGAAATGGTAACGGGGGAGCAGAGAAAACTGTATGCATTTAGCGAGGAGAAGGACAAGGGAGTAGAGTGGGAACCATCCGCATCTGATTTCAAGCATCGCAACCTTGCTGAGGTCAGAATCTTTGGGAGGTTTCTAGCATATGACAACATTGTGCGCTTTGTCCGGAATGTAATGGAAGCAGCGGTGAGTCTGGAGGACATAAAACTTTATAAGAGTCTAGTGTGTCAGAATTGCAAGCAAACGGTTCAGAAGTGGACATTGAAGGAGAAGGTGTCGCTCACCCACAAGCTCAATGTGGGGATGCTGTCTTCGGCCGTCCGGATTCAGTTCCCCAATTTAGAGCATGTTGCTACTTGGTCAACATACTGCTCTTGAGCTGCAAGCTCACTAGTGAACCTTTTCGGTTATGTATATTTTAAGATTGTACACCTCTGTCCTGGTTTACTGGCCCGCTTTGTATTTTGTGTCAAATTTTGTTCGTAAGTTAACTAATAAAATGTTAAAGCATGTCACAAAAAATTATATCATTGGATTTGTATTTGAACGTACTCCCTCCGTTCCTAAATACTCCCTCCGTCCTAAAATTCTTGTCTTAGATTTATCTAGATACGGATGTATCTAATATTAAAATGTGACTTAATACATCTGTATTTAGACAAATCTAAGAGAAGAATTTTGAGACGGAGGGAGTATAAGTTTGTGTAAAGATTCCACTATGGACTACATACAAAGCAAAATGAGTGAATCTACTCTAAAATGGTAGTCCATAGTGGAAACTTATATTTAGGAACGGAGGGAGTAGTTTCCAATGGTATAATTTTTGGTGGCATGCATTTACAATTTGTTAGTTAAATTTATGATTAAAATTTGACACTAAATACGAAGAACCAATAAACCAGGATGGAGGTAGAGTACTGAGTATGGGAGGGTAAGTAGTATTGTTCCATAAGTGTGAAATATTTTTGCAAACGTAAGTTTCGGATGTGTTATTTGTGATAAATGCTTGCACTTTTTTGTACTGTGAAATAGGAGTATATAGTAAGTACTACTTATAAGTAGAGAATTTAAGCCCGGCTAAGCTAGCCTGGCTGTGGTGATTTCCCAGTTCTTTGGGTAATTCCTTTTTCTTAAAGGGTTCCTGTGGTAATTCCTACGCTGTCGTTTCTTGTCTGATTTTTGTCCTTGGTCCGGTCCGGTTCGTTGTTTACACTTTTTTTTCACCACTTGACAATTTGAGACGGTGGAGTATATCTCTGTATAGACGGAACAATCCCATCACGCTTCTTTTCCCCAAATCAACACACAAGTCGTCCTACGGTAAAGAGAAAAAACGCACAAGGCTGCACCCCTGTCGCCGCTGTTAATGTCAATTGGGTATATATATAAGTAGAGGGGTGCCTCGAGAGAGCACCAACGAAGGAAGAGGCGCCGGACACAGGCGTCCGTACAGAAGGGATGCGACCCTACGGACACAGGCGTCCGTATGGCACTTTGGACAAAATAATCTATTTCTAACACTCCCCTTTGTACAACGCCGTCTTGTATTAGTAATCAATCATCTTCGGAAAGTCCAGTGTTTATAATTGATCATCTTGTATAACTCCTCCAAAAACCCTATGGAAAAAATATGAAGAGAATAGTGCAGATATGTTGCTAAAACTCCTTTAAACCCAGTGGAAAAAATAAGGAGAAAATGATGCAACATATAATGATTATTGTCTCCTTGATAACTCATGCAAGAAAAACCTTTGAAGAAGGAGAAAAACTCGTTGATGAGTTTGGAGAACAATATATATATGCTTGATATACTTTCATTTAAAATCACTATTGGGGAATGTTGAAAGTATTGCATATATCACCTCATTAAAATCTTTTATGAGAGACTTCGAGAGAAAGCTCATAAGGAAAAAGAGTGTGATCTGATATGTCATTGAAAATTCCTTTAAAACCCAGTGGGAAAAATATAAGGAGAAAATGATATGACATATGATGGTAATTGTCTCCTTGATAACTTATATGAGAAAACCTTGAAAGGACAAAACTCAATTAGTAAGTTTAGAGGACAATTAATATCCCTTGTATACATCCGTTAAAAAATCCGGTGGGAAAAAATAGGAGGTATGACATATATTCTTGTGTTGATATTACCTCATTAAAAACCTTGATGAGAACCTTGAGAGTAAACCCATAAAGGGAAAAAGAGTATAATACAATGTTTGGATATGTTATATTTCAGGAAGGGACTCCCCCTGTTCCATGCAATTTGGGGCAATACGCTTAGTGATATTGCTTATTATATAACCCGTTTGCATCTGAGCAACACAAGTATTATTATCGTTGTAGATAATAGTTGGTAATTCGATAGAACCAATTCCACATGAATGTTGCATCTGGTTTATCATTCTGTAAAGCAACATATATTAATATGAAGTCATGTCTTTCAGAATGATTGGTAGATCTAGCCACTAACATTTATTTTAAAGACTTCCATAGGATGGCTATCACATCAAGTGAGTACACGACGTGTGTCTATGATCTGACATAGTGCGGATCTGATCGATGTATCCGATGATATTGGTGTCCATATTTAATTGGAAAATTAGGACAAGGTGTTTGATGCCTTGGAGATATCAAAAGATATTCTCGAGTTTAGACCAATTGCGTTTGGTGGATCTAGTGGCACTAGAGTATGGAACCTTGGGTTCCAATATCTTATTTCCATCTACTCATGGTTTAAAATGGATCTTTCTCTACGTTTAGAGATTGAACAACCATGAAAGTTATAGATGGATAAGACTTGTTCATGTCCAATATATTCTGGATATAGACAACATGGTGTATCATAATATATGAGTGAAGGGGCTCGAATTGTAGCTGAAGCAAAGTTTGTTTTTACTTACATCCTTCATCTCAAATTCCGTCTATGGATGACTACGTTCTTCATAAATATCTTGTGTGTTGTCAATGATGTTATAATCATTACCATGCACTAATAGTGGAATCCTAATGAGGATTTGTTGATGAACACGCATGGGAAATAATCACTATTGGAGTATCCTTTTGCATAAGGAACTCACTAAGTCGATTCTACCAAATTTATTTCGACTATTATAAGTCATGTAGTGACTTATTGAGTTTACACAAAACATGTTGCACTTTCATTTTGGATTCAGAATTGGGATTCCCATGAGGAACTTATATGTCTGAATCAAGTGACACATTAATATATGTGGTCACTACATCTATCAATTGTATAAAAAGATGCTTTGCACTGCCATTGAGATAAGTTATCAGAAAATGATTTCACTTGTGTATGGAGAATCGATTTGGGTATCTGCGTGAACCCTTATGCTACAAGCCTTGCTATTCACCACATTTATGTTCTTATTCCACTTTAGGATGAAAACTAGTGTAGGTATTACTTTTGTGAATACCTTCCTTTTGTTGAGCGAGGCTATTTCTTCTTGGATTGCATCCTTTGTTTGAGTCCAGTCCGAGCTAGTATTATTTAAACTCTGCCATGGCCATGGTCTTTGGATCCGGATCATTATAAAGGTTGTTTGCAATCATGAGAAATTTATGTCGACAGTTGTAGGCTTTCATTTATATGATTCTCCAGAATGTATAAAATTTTGGTGAAATCTTGTTACCTTTGATGACTCTTCGTGTTTCCCAATACGGTTGAGTCTAGGTTTCCAATGTCCCAGACATTGTGTGCACTGTTGAGCTGGGTTATGGAGGTTTCCCTCTTATTGGGTGTATACTACCCATGAGGTGTCTATCAACGTGAAGTTGACTTGCATTTACCGAGTCAGAGGCCTCAATATCCTTTGTTGCTTCCGGAAAGCTGAATCCTGATGTATTGTGGTCGTACTTCTACCCTTCTTGTTTTGAATGGGGAGTTGAGTGGTTTTTGTTGGTACCTCCACTCTCTTGAGCGCATTTTTGTAGGATTATAGGATTCTGTGACACCATTATAGTCGGTAAATGGGATTGGTAGGTTATTTGCAATGTGCTGCAAATATTCTAAACATTGTGTTTAGATCTTTGAGTACGTGGATTTGAGGTAGAAATGTGTTGAACATTCCAAGTGATTTCCCGGCATTCTTTTTGGTACTTAAAATCTCCCCATAATGCCTGGAAATGTACCTCACTGAGCATACTAGCCATGAATAACTCCCCCTGAGAGGGGCTTAAGGTATTTATAGTTGACGGAAATACAGTTATTCCTCACATAGATCCCAATTTTTTTTGTGAAGGCCAGTGATGTATGCTATGGTGGTGATATCGGTATGGAACCGAATTATCGCAAATGAGAAATACTTTTGGTTTGCACGTACTAGTTTTAGAGGGGGTGTACTATGATATGTAGTATGTTACAGTTGAATTAAGTCAGCGGTGTGTAAAACCGCATGACTCCAGTCAAGTTGGTAAGCTACAATTCCGAAGTAAAGATCATGCAATGAGCTTAATTATTTGGATATAGGATGTTACCAAACCATTTTGAAACCGGACATGGGCAAAGTGCTTAATTTACATCACAGGGCCATGTTCATGGCACACAAAGAGATTTGCAACATTGTCCATTCGAATTTCATTGAAATTGACCTTCAGGATAATGAGTCAATGGTTCATGTGGGTAGATGCACACAGAAGACCATCATGTAGATGTGCCTTTTAGAACCATGGAACAAACTGAATAGTCCAATCAATGGTTGAGAAGTACCATTTACCTTGGCTTGATGCGTTCAAGGAATCTGAGTGGTTAAACACTTTAAGGTGTGTGGACCTTAAAATTAGCTTTCCTTGTCACATGTAGTGCACATAAAATCCAAATATTGCTAGAACTTAGCATCATTTTAGGCATGATTAATGGAATTGCTGATAGTTTTCATTTCAAGTCAATGTCAGAATGACCAAGGTGAGTGTGTCAAGTTTGTCATGTAAATAACATTCTAGAAACTATCTTGTATGCAACATGTGCTACGGGTTTTGTAGTATGTATAATGCAATTCTGATGATACACAGAGAATGTGCTTTTATATCTGTTGCATATGGTAAAGAGAATATATTTCTCTTTGTTGTCATCATGAGTTTCTATATAGAAGCTATTTTGACAGATACCTCTATAATTTAGTGGGATACGAGTTGAACCTGGACTCAGTAAAGAAATCCTTGATGGTTCTTGAATATCCATAGGGACAATAATATGATTCGAATGGAACCAATAATTACATCATCGCGTCTACCGATTGTAATAATATCTCTTTCTCTCTTAGAGAGAGTGTAAATCTTTTTTTACTGCCCTAAGTATAGAGTTCGTGGTGCATATGTTCACAAGGCACTTATACTATTTCATCAGATTGACTCTCATA